ATAAGCAGATGAACATGAACAAAAAAGGTATATCCAAACCTTTGTCGACCGAGAATTGTAATCAACAATCTGAAGACTGAACCCTTCAGGCTAATTTTGCAATTATGATATTGTCATTGATTGCTAAACCCAAACATATGATAGGAAACATTGAAACTGGAACTGAGGAAGATGTAAAATCTAGGAACGTCTATTTTGGGTCGTTTGTCAATCTTCAGAAAGTTGATTACAGTTCTCAGTTGACAAAGGTTTGGATATACCTTTTTTGTTCATGTTCATCTGCTTACGATTATACAGCAAACAACTGTCGGCAGGAGTACCATCTGAGTGAATCAGACCATATTAGCAGCGGAAAGAAAGCACCCGGTAACAAGGATAAGACTTGAGCTAGTTTATTTCCGAAATATCCTGTTTGCGTCAAGTTGTAACTCTTGGCTGCGAGAGTACAACAAAGCAGGTCATCTTTGAATTCTATGGTACGCATAGCAATTCGAAATTGCAAATTTTACAAATAAAGAATGGTGAACTAGCAAAACAATCTAGCGCATAAACCCACTTGAGTGAATAATGAGCTGACTTCCCCATGCAATGCTCCAAAACCATCCAACAAAGAAGAATGTTACGGTGAAAAATTGACTAATGCCGACCAGCAAATTGACAGCCTAAACGGAGAGGAACATATAATTATAAAATTGTAAAAATACTCTACGGAACAAAAGCGATAATTTTTTGTTCCGTTTAGAGTTGAGTCGCGCTCGAAAGGAGTCCCTTACAATGGTCTTTCATGCAGCAAAATGGTCTATAAAAGACTTACAAGTGTCACAAATTTTCGCCCACGCTTCAGATTGACTCTTGGTTGACCGAGACAGAGCGCTAACAACCCAGACATTATAGTACCTATATTTTTTTCAATGAATATAAAGCTCATTCTCTGGTAAAATGATATTCAAAAAACACACTGCTGTATAAATCTACCTGTTCCTGGGATAAGTAGGTTCAACAAGAAGCAAAGAAGAGCAACAGGAATCGGCAGGTACGGAATCGCTTCATGCATCAATGTTATATCATTTGTGGGCGGGATGAGCTGAATTTTTGCAATTTACAAATGCTAGAAAAGTCTATGTTTTCATTACCATATCACCATATTTAGTTTCCTTTTGTACACGGTTTTCCTCTTGTGTAGGAGCAAGGTCTTCGGAACTAGAAGTCCCATGAGTTTTCTGCAAGAGTCTTTAAAGCGTAAAAAGGTCAAGAAAGGAAAGGCCTGCTTCGGAATTACAAGTCACAGCATTGGCACCTGGTATAGCGCAGCCCTTCATCCCTTAAAGCAATAGCTTTGTTTACAGTTCATAGTTTTTTTGTTTTCCTTGATAATGTGTGTAATCTCACAAAAGCCTTCCCTTCAATTTCTGGTGAGGGTGCAGCTTCTATCCTAGCTTGTCCTTGTAGCCAGCATTGCTACCTGATGTCAATCGCAACATGATTTCTTCCTTACGCTATACTTGTGTCTCTCTTTGAAGACGATTGCCCAACATTCACTGCCCTTTGAGCGGAATACAGCACGGTAAGTTTGAGGTTCCACTTCCTTGGGCATTCACACATAATTTCCAAGCCTTTTCGTTTGGTGATTGCATTCCTCTGACCAATGATTCAGAAGAATGCAATCACCAAGCGAAGAAGCCTAAACTTCTGACTATTTAGAAACTTAGGAAAACTCATCTTCTTGATAGGTTTACTGTCGATTTTCATTTTTCGCAGAGTTTGACTGCCTACCCTCCATAGTCCGTCATCCATCTTTGTAGGATTTTTTTCAAACTCTTATCTTCTCTCGCTCTTAGAATCACACCATATGCGTTAAGAAGATTTAAAAGAAAAAGTTGTGAGGCTTTTCGAAGCGCTCTTTGTAGTGGGGAATAAAGGAGAGAGTGCGATCTCTGATGTACAACGATTATTACGCAGGATGGCTTTGTTGCCTTGCTAAGCATGCATTTGCCTCGTGGCTTAGCGGTCGATCATCTTTTTGCGTTGGATGCTCTTCTGAAAATGTTATAGCACTGTCCACCATATGCTATTAGGTTTCTTATGGTAAGCTTTACAAGAAAGCTGCATGTAGCTTTCTTAATTGTTCTCTTCATAATTCTTCGTCACTATCCGTAGAGCAAGGGTCGCATCAGCAGCTGGCGTGTTTTCACTGATTTAGTAACAGCACAATGTTCGTTTGAAGTCGCTTCTCAAGCACTTTTCAAAGATTGTCGGAGTGGCCCGTCAATATTGGTTGATATACTGTACAGTCTGCGGTGTCGCCTTCCCTTCTCAAAATGGTTGTGCCTTTCTATCCGCATCTTCTACCTCCGGCTTATGGTGCATGGGCATTAACAACTTTAAAGATTCCCCGTAATCTTTAAGCCTAAGTCAATCGCCCACTCCTTCAGCCACAACAATCTTGCTGTCCAATCTTGCTATATCTATCCATTTCAATGCTGCCCCTGCCATTGTAAAGGAGCTTATGCCATTTTGTTTCCTGTAAAAAGGCCACACTCGGTAACATTGTTCTCTTCTTGAAAATTCGCCACCTCTCATGTCGTCCAAAGAGGCACCCACTAATGATGCTGGCTAACCAAGGCGTCCATGAGATTTTAGATAGTGGCCTTCGGTGAGATGGCCTTCTGCCCTTTCTAATTTACACCAGTCAAGCTCGTTTGCGCATCGCTTTCGAGGAACTCCCAGCTTGGCAACACCTGTTAGACATTGATTTCATTGGGTTGCGACGGATTTATTCAAC